TAATATGCATAAAATCGTTTTGTGAAACGCATCTATCTTAAGTTAGGATGGAATTTTAGTTTAAGACGATTTTAAGGAGATTTAAGTTTTTGTGAAACAGGGCCCAGGACCAGTTTGTATTACTACGTCCGATGTAAACAACATACATTTTATTGACGCCATAATGATGTCACGCCACGCGTAGATCTATACCGAACGTGACCGTAAAGGCCAGTCATCCTGTACATGTACAGTGTTACGCATTACCGCTACGAAACAGATTGATTATCACAAGCAGAATTGGCGATTCAATCAGGATGCATAATCTCGATTCTAAACAGTGGTATTCCTCATCTCTCATAGAATATCCTATTGAATTATTTTGTGATTTTTTTCCGGGATTGCAATCATTGATTAAATTCTGGTTTATATGGATATGAAAATCGTTACGCAATAACGGTATCTGTTTGTACGAGATGATTCCATGCACTCAATGTATATGCCGGCTTTTCAAGCCAGAGAACGCTACTAGTGGCTAAAGACGCATGTACCGGGCGAGGTCAAAAACTAATCAGGGTGTTACTATCATTAATATTTCATTCAGTTTATAGGTATATGGACATCTATATTTACCAGTGTCCAGTACATTTAAGAAAGAATTGTAGTTCATTTAGATTTTTTAAAATCTAGAAGGGCTGTATCTGAATAAATAAATATAAATAATGCTTGTACAAAAAGTGTTTAGGAATAACATTGATAGATTTTTACCTTATTTTATTTACAAAAGTAAATTTTTCTTGATATTATTGAAGTAATCTAGAAATACAACAGTATACAACAGAAATTAGTTAGCGATATTAATAATTACTTAGATGAGAAGCGATGTCATATGTTCTAAAAAGCGTACGCATACCTTACCTACATAACATTTATCTTTAACTAAATAATTTTAGGTTTACACTCCTTCGCAGTCATGTCAAACATCAGTGATTTATTGATTCCAAAGCTTAATTTAAACCTCGAAACATTAAATATATAAGAGGGCATGCGTGGGGACAATTTTAATAATATGGAACTTTTGCCAAATGTTAAAATGTTTACGAAACAATAATTAAATAATAAGGCTGCATTGTTCGAGAATGGTCATCAAAGGCGCCTCATCGACAGGCAGCATTTCATATTTTTTATCGACAAATGTGATAGAAAATCTGGAAAAACATTTGTAATCATTCTGTCATAGGACATGCAAAGTCTGAGTAATCTTCCAAAAACCAAATTTGGACATTGCGAATCCAATATTTGTCTTTTCCTTGGCCTGCTTCAGCATTTTTAATGCGTTGGTTGGGTAAAACAAAACATTTATCAACTGATTTAGGTCGCCGCTCACATAATGAAGGTGTGCCCATCCATTCACTCTGCTCTCGGAACGCGCAGGTCCGCATAAGATGTTTACTTAACGCCATAACTGTGACACTTTGAGTCTGTTTCAATCTCAGACAGGGCGTTGTTACGTAACCCAGTTAGAGATGGAAATGACATCTTGGTTTAAACCACGCCTCTCTATATCTATAAAAGTATTTGTACATGCACACCCACTTTACGGCTAATCTCAACTTTGTTAAAATTGGCGATTTAATGTGCATGAATAACATTTTAGTGAATTGCACAGTTCTTTAATTTTTGTAGCTTGTTTTGAATAAATAACTTTCTAAAGAAATGCATATGTTCCAATTATGCATCTCCCAATTGGTTTACACCATCAATAATGTTACCATTAAGTAAAGTATGTTTTAACTATTATTTGGAGGATTCTTTAAAATCCTTTTCGAATATTTTGTTTAAATTATTTCAGATTTGTACACTTTTGTTATAATTTTGATGGAATTATTTCTTGCTGATCAAACATTATTATGTAGTATTATTACTTCACATAGGCTACATGACATATTTGAAAGAGAATCATAGTTTAAGTATATGAATACTGGATAACTTAAACTGTTTTGCCTTGAAACGCTGTACTCTGTGATTGATCTAGATATGACACATTTTACATGAAATTGCTTACAAGACACAAAGACAAAGGAAATAGCAAGTTCGTAAAGTTTAGTTGTCATGGAACTTAAACCAACTCTCGTCCTGTCGATGTGGTGAATTGCTCGAATCTATCTATATATTTGCGTGGGCGGCATCTTCAGCACAGCACATAGTTCCATTTTCGATAAAATAAATGTCACCGATATATCCCCTTTTCTGGTAGCCATGAGTTTTTAGGACTTTTTCATAGTTGATTTCACGTACTAATTTGAAATAACAAAACTGGTTTAATTACGGATAGAATACGAGAAGATGATATGCAGAAATTCTGCATCATAATCAGATATCCCAATAATCTTAGCGTCGATATTAATTACACAACTTTTACAGAATCAAGATATGGTGAAAAATATGAATAGTTATACCATCTCTACTAACACATTACATATTGCTAAGGAAATAGAGAAATCGGATTGCATGAGCTTTGTAAAAGAGTGAATTAGCGAATCGTGGCAATGCAAAATAACCGAGAAAATTAGTGTTCACACTTTTGTTTAATTCAAAATATCCACCTCTACTAAGTTCAAAATACGATAAAGTTGGTCATAACCGATAAATTTTGGACAGATTTAACGTCTTTTTGTACTGTCGAAGACTTCAAAATAATCGTATAGAATAGGCGATATAAATTCGAAGTTATGTGAAGGCCGCAAACCACAATATTGTGCAATTTGGATCTCTAAAATGAATATCAGTCCAAACTTTTCAATTCAGACCGATATTCACAAAGATATGATGAATTGAAAATTACGCAATATTCGACATCCTCTGCAGACGATATAAAAAGCCAGCGTCACCTATATAATTGTTGGTAAAATCTTTGGATGAGTCTCTTTTTGATCCTATTGAATCCAAGTTGGGAGGTTATCTATCGCTGTTATTTTGGTTTGTGTTCTTAATTAAATATTAACTAATTAATTTTAGTACATTTGGGCCTGGTTAAAGCCGTGAAAAATTTGATATTGTCAGACAAATGATCGATCGGCATTGGCGCCAATAATAAAACAATTGACATTTGATCTGTCATGCAGCTTTGACATGTTTCACCGGTAGGTATTCTTCTTAATCCCAAATATAAGTTAAAATTGTTGCCCTGGAAGGGTTAGGAAAAGGTCAGAAAAGTTATTTAAAAATTATTAATTTACCGAATGGTATTTATTTCATTTAAAGAAACGTTCGATCATATTCTTTTGGTACCACTATGTTCACCTGGCTGAGAAAGATCAAAACTACAGTTTTGTCCAGATGACGCCATTATCAACAAAATATTTAAACATCATTTTAGAAAAAAACACCACCTTTTGTCAAGTCTAATTAATATGCGAAAACTATAAAAATTTACTCTTGCAAAATTAACTATTTCTCGACATCTTAATAAGTTTGAAACTATTTTGATATTGATATGATCGTGAAAATTACTCACAGAAAAACAGAAACTATGCACATTCCTAAATCTCTTTTTGTTTATTACGGATAAGGGCGATAACCTGGAAGGAATGTGTTGAATTTAGTAAAATTCCGTCAACCGAACAACCCTATATGTAAAATGTCTTACAAAAATAACAACTAATACTGATTTTTTATTAAAATATCTTTGAACATAAATGAAACCATTCAACATGTATCCAGAAAAATCATTTAAATTTCCATTTTATATTACGGTACTAAAAACTTGGTGACAGTAAAATATTTAATTGATTTGATATTCTGACGATTTGCATCAGTAATCAAATTGTGAAAATCGGCTCATACAAACAAATTTGAAAAGTGGTTATGGAAAATTGTCTATTTCCCGGCAATGGTTGATGTAAGAAGCTAATTTGTGTTAACTACATAATCGTATACGGACATCTTCCATGTGAAGATATTAAAAAAACCCATTAAAACTCAACCCAAGTAATGACCTCACTTCTGGTGCCTATGAATATATTTGTTTTATTTACCTGGGCCCTGTTTCTCGAAATCTTAACTAAAGATAAAATCCAATTTTAGTAGATACCTCAATTTTGATTGGCTAAGCATTAAAATCAATCTAATATTATCCAATCAAATTATTAAAGTTTGGATTTTATGTTCGTTAAAAATTTCGTGAAACAGGCTCCAGAGCTATCCTCATACCACCTAAACTAAATTAAGGTAAAATAATATTTACAACCCCAAAAAGCGTCCCGAATAGGGCAAAATTGAACGTTTTCTACAAATTACGTCACTTCCGTTACGAATTGTAATTGGTTTCTTAACTTTTCAAGTGCTTTTTAAAAATGTCACACTCCTCAATTCTGAACTAAAAAAATAGAAGAAAAATAAAAAATGAAATTTTTGAATCGCATTTTCCCGATATAGGAAATAATTTTTTCCAAAAGGGATAGCAACTTTTTGACTAGGTAAAGTTACCAATTTCGACGAGTTCGAATTATATAACTTTTATCATCTAAGTCAAACACGTAAAGGCCAAAAATTTCAAAGCGATCCCATGAGTAAACATTATGGTCGAAACAGTTAGTGTGAAACCATATTAATAATAATTAATAATCAGTATGAAACCTGTGATGATAATTCCTATAAAAATACCCGACACCTAAATCAATGGCTAAAAAATGTGAATTAAAACAAAATATAGTTTCTAGTATGCATGTTAAAATTTGTTTTTTATATATTTTGAAGAAAACAGCCCATGTTACCATAAACATATTGCAGAGCTTGATATAATGTCACTAATTTATTCGGAAGTGTACTTTGTTATTTGACAGCAGTTTAGTTTACGTAGATTATTTCTGGAACCTCTCCAAAATTTTATAACCAATATTGCATATTCGTATTCAGTTAGTGTGACCTGCCAGTGTGACTTGTATCATGCATAAGTCACATGCAGCCGAAAGCCTGCAGATGATTGGCTGAAGGATCTATCGCCACAAAAGAAGGCCGAAAGCGCACGAATAATGTCTATGAAGGGGGTGAATTGGCTCTGGTTTGCCAGCAAACAGGTAGGAAAGTAGTTATTCAAATTAAAAGAAAAATGCAAAAACTACGACTTCAGTTTAAAGTCGAAAATGTTGTCACAAACTGAGCTAAATACTATTTTTCAAATTTCTTTATGGTGAATTTTGAAATTTCGCCGATTTTTTTTGTAAATATACCCTAAAATACCATTGACTTGAAGCGACGTAGGCAGAGTGGTAAGTCTTTTTAAACATGTAAAGGAGTAGTCAAAAACATTATTAATTCTGTATTATGTTTTTTAAAATATTGTAATTTTCTTTCTGTTGCCGACATATTTCAAAGTTGCATGTTTTACAGACTTTGTTTTTACCAAATATATAGAAATATTAAACAAATGGTTAACAGACATCTGAACACTATTCATTTAATCTATTTTATCTACATACAATGCCGTAAAATTTCTTTAAAACGAAATGGGCATCTTATCTATTATTTATATATACATGTAAAATGTTCCGTCGCAACCATCATAAAAGAGGGGGAAAAATTACTTTTATTTTACTTAAATTGACACAATTTCAATAAATCTATAAAACACACACCTGATAAGTGCATTCAATTTCCTCTGTTTCAACTTTTAAAAATTACATTCATACTCCCAGGTTTTAATGCTTAAAAAGTACACAAATTTAATGAACTCGGTTGATCCTAATTTTTGCTTCTATATACTTTAAGAAATGACCACTCTTCTTCAATTGAGATATTAATAAATATGATAAAATTTAAACCTTTATACAAAAAATATGACAGTTACTGCAAATTTCAACATCATACAAACCCTTCTGTAATACTAAAAATTATACTGAAATACAAACAAAATAGAAAACAGTATTGCACATTAATTTAATATAAATCTTTCACTATGTTACAATGCCGATTTTAACAGACGTAATATTTTGTAAGTATATAATTTTTAAATCTTATTATACTAATGAAATCATAATATGTATTGAATGTTAGAACACAAAACGATTTCATTTAATATAAATACTAAAACCCGAGCATCAATTTGTGCATCAATGATCAAAATACATATCCAAACCTAGAAAAACCCGAGCATCAATTTTTGCATCAATATCAAAATACAAATCCAAACCTAGAAAAGTTTGAAATTTATAAAAATCAAATTCTCGTATTGAAAAGGATTATTTTCCTGTCTCGTATTGAATGTACAATTATTCTGCTGAACAAATTTATTTTAAACGTTTTGCAAAACTAATATATGCCGATGCAGTAGCAGAGTTCTCGAAATTGTGGAATTTCAAACGAAATCCAACCGTATAGCTGCTGGTCCCAATCCAACATTTAATTTGTGAAATTTTGCTATTCTTAGAGCCTTCTTAATAAATTTGTGTAATTTGTATCTTTTTGTAAAAAGAAATACACCATAGCCAATTCCAAACTTTTTGAAAAATTGTCGAACAGCATGTTTATTCCATAGAAAAATATTTAGATGGCAAAGTTTCTTTAACAAGATTGGATTTTTAAATCGTTATGATTAAAGCAATATCTGTATTCACAAATTGTGAACACACCGAACTTTGCTAATCCGTCCAATAACCATTGATTTTAATATAATAAAATATATTTTATTGATGAAAATTACAAGATTTTAATCTTAAAAATACGTTATATACACAAACGCACGCATACTCAACCACAAAAATTATCTTGACGCTAACATTATCTTGATCCTAAAATATTACTGGTTGTGGAAATATATATATGGGTTATTTAAATTCTGTAATAGTTTACTTATTTTTACTTCAATTATATGGAAATGAAATGAAATAGGATTTAACGCCCTACTGTCCTGCTCCGACTGGACTGATGAAGACGGGCGTACGCCATACAGTGTGCTATGGGGGAAATTTTGCCCGGATAGCGGCGCTACAGCTTACTCTTATATCGAATTGTGACTGCCAAGGGATCTTTTACGTGCACGCCAATGTGTACATTGGACCTCGGTCTTTCGTCCCATCCGAACGACTATAGACAACTTTCATTGTCCCCCCCCCCCCCCGCCCTGTGCCATTGACAAGGGAAAACCACGCCGGAAAATCCCGATGAACTTTTTTCGGCGAACACCTGGATCTAACCCGCGACCTTACTCACTTAGCCACCGTGGCTTCGATTACATGGAAAGGATAATTATGTGTAATTTAACTTGTATAATACTGCAGTTATTTTTATTATAAACAGGAAGCATTATTATTCGTACCTGCCCCCAAAAAACTGTATTTATTAAGATCAGAAATTGGTTTCCGCAAGATACGTGAAAAGGAAGGTACACGAAAATTTTTCACCGAAACATTTAAATATTCTTGAATCCTAATCCTAAGATTAAAATTTGCTTGTGAAGTAGATGAATACAATAGCCCGAGGTTAACAATATTTCACAGCTCGCGATATTTTCTATCTTGTGGTATATGGGAAATTATAATAAACCAACAGTCTCACATCAAATGTGAATGATCTGCTTATACATTCGCATACTTGTCTGTTTCTCTGAGACAACTTAGATGATCGCCACCAAGAGATTATTGAGACAAACTGTGACTATTATCATCGCCCATCCTTTCATTGGCACTTATTGTCTGCTTATTTACTTATCAGTTGGCGTATTTATATGATTTTATAACAGTGACTGGTGCTTTGCGCGGGACAGCTGATATCACTATTAGATACTATCGTTTTGATAGCTTTCCGGAAAAGTTATAATTCATAAATATATATAAGCTTTAGGCGTCAAATGAAAATCATAGGTATTAATTTTGGAGGTACTTGTCAGGAATCTTTTAAAATTGTTACGCGACGACCTGATGATATCTTTTGATCACAAAAGCATATCAAAATTAATGGGAATGGGAAGTGGTGTCCTAGAATGTAAGCACACCCTACCCCGTCACTGGTGGTTTAAGAGGTATTAACTCTACGAGCAAATGCAGCAAATATTTTTAACCCCGCGAGTTGCTGTTTTCCAATGGACTGGGTGAATTATTAAAATTTGAAACAGATCCATTGACAATTATGAACTACTTGTTTGCCAAGAAATTGTTTTTAGACGAGCGACAATATCATGACTTATACTGCTGGCATATGGAGTAAGTTACTGATAAATCCCTCCGTGTTAATTGCATGGCGATCTGTAACTTTTGTTTGGCATAGCTTGGCGTAAAACTTGAATGCGACAAAGCAAAGAACCTAACATGCCCCCATTATCTGGTTAAAAAATACGCGAGGTGAACAATTCTTGAATGAATATTGTGATTTTACCTATACTGGGTTTATCAACAACCACTCTTACAAATGCGCCAGCTTGAACATGGAATAACTATTTTATTTTGATAATAAATTGATTTTGCAAAATCTATATTACATCTGAGTAGCAAAAGATATCTGGTTGTTGCCGCATATTGCGTTATATTGTAAGTGTTCATCGCGGAACTCGTGAATGCATTATAGAGTTAAGTTATCGACCAATTAGTAAGTATGAGGTTAAAGAAGACAATTCTCTATTTTCAAAAGCAGTTACAGAGTTATTGCCCCAGACCCATACAGGTGTTGACAAGCGGACATTTCGTATTCGTATTCACTCTACAAAGAAATATTTCATATTAGAGATGACACCCATCACTTTGTGTGTTTTCAGATGTATTGTCCCCGACCTATATTGTTGCTAATATGGGATAAAGGTGGTCTCAATCGATTTACAGTGTTTTCACAAAATAGTTATGGAGTTATTGCTATGATTTGTGTCATTACAAAAGTGGGTCTGTGATCATTATCTACGGTAAAGGCCTCATTGTGGGTACTTTATTAAAACTAGATTTCGTCAAATATTCAGCAACAGAAAGTATTTGGCTATTTACAGTGTTTTCACAAAAAACGCATGGCGTTGTTGGCCCTGACTCGTGTCTTTACAAAAGTGGAGCTAATCATTATTTACCGTAAAGTCCCTCCCCCCCCCCCCCCAACCCTTGCGTGTGCCCTAAAATAGAAAAAACCCACCATGAGCTGAAAATACTTTATTACAATGGGGACAGTATGTTACTTTGTCTAACAAGATATGTTTGTTGGGTGTCTGGTACTGTTCGGCAATCTACGTCCGCCTTGAAACCACCTTTGCTCATGGCCGGTGATATGCCAAACATAATTTTGAAAAAAGACGAAGTATGCAGTGGAAGCACGTTATGTTACCAACGCCCCAAAAGTTCAAAAGAACGCCTTCCAGAGGCAAGGCTATGACCTGAGAATAGAAGGGCACAATTATGATAGATTATCTAAAGAGGGTTCCACCATAAATGGTGCATATTACGCATATGGATTGCGCAGGTAACGTGATCAAATCAAAGAAAAGCAACGGGGTGTTTGGCTGCTCCAGGCAAATGCTCAAGTTCACATTCCGCTGCACAGGACTGTGGCTCCAAGATCCTCGCTCAGTCAACCCATTCTCGAGAGAGATCAAGCTCCATCTGACTTCTGCCTTTTACCACAACTCAAACCGGGGTGTTTGGATGCTCCATTCTATTGCTCAAGTTCACACTCCACTGAACAGGACTGTGGCTTCAAGATCCTCAGTCAGTCAACCCATTCTCGAGAGAGATCAAACTCCATCTGACTTCTGCCTTTTCCCATAACTCAAACCGGGGTATTTGGCTTCTCCAGACAAATGCTAAAGTTCACATTCCGCTGCACAGGACTGTGGTTTCAAGAACTCCCTCACTCAACCCATTCTCGAGATCTAGCTCCCTCTGACTTCTGCCTCTTCCCACAACTCAAATCTGTACTTATCGGGACGGGTGTGAAGGAGTTTTTAGGATCACGTGACAGACTGGTTTTCTGGCAGCTTAAATATGCTAGAGAAACGGTGGAACAAGTGCATTGATATCAAGTGGGATTACGTTGAAAAATAAGTATTTTCATAAAGATCGCAAATTATTATTATTTAGAGAGACCGGAAGCTTTCTTAAAACTCCTCATGATGTCTGTCAAATCATGTTTCTTTCCCGTTTCTTGTTATACCATGACTTAGCCTATTCAAGCCATCGTTTTACCTTTACCACCGCATATTCTAAGACGATTTGAAAAACAAGCCCCAGAAACGCCTTCATCAAAAAATCTTCTGATGAAAAAACCCGAAAACACCCAGCACTTGGAAACTTCATTAAACTCCAGTATTACTAAAATATATGTGTGTTGGTTTAGGGTGGTCTAATAAAGAAATCCACGCTGTTGGGGTGAATCAACCCTTAACTTGAGTCAAAGGGTTAACTTTGTGAACCCATCACAAAATATAACTCATTGAATTCATGCACTGCGGTAACATAACCAGCTAAAAATTCAAGTACAAAGATATGGTGTGTTCAGATCACGGCTGTTCATTTAAGGCCTATAGACTTGATACATAGCAAACGCGACCAGAAGAGTAATCATCCTCATTCGCCTTTGATTCTGGTGCAGACTAAATTGTGCCCGACACTCAATGGCAAGAAATTAAACATTAGCAACAGACGATCACGAATACGAATAACTGGCGCATCCATCTTGGATATGACTGATCTTCATTTCTTCTAGTTACGTGCATTTTGTGTGGCACATTTCAATTTGAATTCAATCCGAATACACTGTAGTCTCTATCACCCAGAAAAATATTCTACGAATATTAGTCTGGATGAGTTGTCAACATTTGAGAACAATAGGTCATTGACTAGATTATCCGGTCTTTTACATTATCAAAAACAAAGTCTAAGGAGGTAACTAGTCCTAAAAGAAGATGATGACGCCCATGAAATTAATTCAAGAATGCCATTTCAAAAAATCCATTAGATTGCATGCCAGTTCAATATCCAACATTCTTATTTTCTTTTATTGTAAAATTCCTCTCTTCATGGGCCATATGTATATTTTTAAAATTAATCCTAATTCGTCGTCACGATTCATGTTTGTTTATATTAATGCAAGAATTATGGGATTTATTGCGGGAAGGGGCGCAACTCTTACTTGACTTGGCCAGAAGATACTGGATAATCAACCACATTAAAAACCAAACTCCCGGGCAATGGACTTTTCGTCAAATATTGACAACGTTCCCAGACCCCCTGTACGGTCAAGACTAGGAGGTTCTGGGTGACCGAGACTAAAAAAAATGTATTGTGACGCACCGCTTTTAATTCGAGACAAACCAATCCAAATTTCGGAGACCGGTCTCCGGAATTCGCATTTTCATTTATAGTACATCACACTGAAAACCTAATTTGAAAATCTACGAAGGTGAATACCGGAATTTAAAGATACATTAGTTAAGATTTAAATAAAGAGCTGACCATTCTTACTATAATAGTTCGAAAATAGATAATGCAAAATAAAAATATTGGAAATTTCATTTAAATTACTTTATTCTGACCCAAGTTATCACTGTTTGTAGTTTTGACAAGATGTATGCATTGTGGTAACCAGAGCACTGGTATATTCGAGACTTAGCCTCGCTTTCCCATTTTTAAATTAAATTTTTAAATGGCGAACCGTTCTAATCTAGTCAAAATCTCAAGTATCCGATACCATCGAGAGTTGATTATGGTCTTGTTTTGTTAATAAATGTCTAATTAATAGTTTATATAACACTTCAGGCCTTAAAGAAAGACATGCAATAGGCAGATTTGGCTCTTACATAATGTATGTTTAAACAAAGCAAGTCTGCATGTATTAGTGAGCGAAAAAGAATACATTTTAGGGACACCTTAAGACCGCTCTAAGATCAACACTATCTTATAATGATGATTTCATAAAAATTTGACAAAGTTATGGATATGTGAAAATTACAATAAAAAAAAAGCTCTTGTCGGTTCATGTAAGTGATTAGAAAAACCAATTTTGTCCAAATTTTCATAATTTTGTCAACGTTTTATGAAATCATTTAAATTTTGGATATGACGTAAAATGTGCATATCTATAACATAACTTACCTTGATGGTCACTTTTGCAATACTTAGGCGAGATTGGCAAAACATTTGTTCGCAATTGACAAAAGAATCGCTCTTGTCGGTGATTAGTATTTATGTTTTCATTGTAGGCCTAGACTTTCGTGCGTATCTGCGATGTTTTGGTTGCCCAAAGTATCATTTGTGTTCTTGGAATATTGATAAGCCCTTCGTCGCCAAAATCTTGATAAATTTTCGGGAAAATGTTTCTTAGTTTGTACAAGTAAAGGGAAAAGAGAGTGTAGAAGAAATGCGATATGACAGAAACGTGAATAGCTATATTGATACGTCTGATGGACACAATAGACACATTCATTTGTATTTTTGCCGAGTTAGCATCCGCGTTTAGTCGACTTATGGTTGTGAGTCATTGGTCCGTAAAGGGAAGACCAAGAAAAAGGTAACGTCGACTACTAAATATGCTTCTATGATTGGTGTGTTTTATTTATGGGAGTGGCCGGTGAAACACGAACCTCGAATGTTTTATAAAGATTATTGTTGCTTCGTGAAATACAAATTTACATATTATGTGCTATTATGACGAAAGGTCTTTTCTAATTGGTGTGAGTTTTTCTCAACACCATCGATATATTAAATATGTGAATATTCTACAAAAAAACAAACAAAACCTCTTTTAGGATTTTTCAGAATAAAAGTATTAATTTAAGAAGCTATCTCCTTGTCGAATTTGAATTCCACAAATCCCGAATTAATTTATTTTTTCCTGAACTGTAAAACAGTTTTAAGGGCACGAAAAACGCCCATTCGTTCATAGCTTATTTATTCAGATATTTTCAGAATTATTTTATTTTTTCCATAACTGGACCCGAAAACACCCGATTCGTCGTTCACGGGGTGTTATTTATTCAGATTTTCAGAATAAGAAATATCATGTAACAATGACTTATTGTAAAAACACAATCAAAAGTATAAATTATTATGAAAATGAATATTAGTTAATGACTTTGTTCAATGAACAGAGCGTCGACTACCTATTTGAGGCTCAATGATTGCCACTAATATTACATTCCAATCAAAATAATTATGCTGGTTTATCAGCAGTTATATGATAAGCAAATCGCATTTCGTCTTTCATGTGACTAATTTTAACGAGTGCGTATGGTTTGACTTGTTTTGAGACCGAGGCTCAATCTAGAAAGCTTGAAATTATCAAGATGGCGTCACTGTCTGCATCATGGTAAGGCTTATACTGTTATTTTAGTATTCAATATTGTACCTCTTTCACGTCATTTTTGTCATAATAACGCATTTTAAAAAATATTTCTGTCTCTTTTTTTCAGAAATGCCCCGTTCTGATCTAGGAAATTTCTAAAAAAAAACCACTACATTATTCGACAGCCATCGCTACAAGTAGGTGAAACATAGACCAACATTCGCCTTTGGTAGAAAGAAGGTATATATACACACATATTTCATATTAACGACCCTTGTTAATTGAATAAAAGAGGATTTTGTTTTTACAATGAATTACAATCTGTTTTCATTTTTATAAATTGTCAAAGGGACTTTGCCTTTCTCTTTTTATTGGCTTTCAATCCTGCTATAATTACAAGTTTGCTTGAAATAAGAATAGACCTGTTCATATTCTGTTTCGGTCCTTTTGCAATCTTTTGATTTTTTTTACAATTTGAGTTAATGGATTGCTTCTATCACTCATCCCAGGTTGGATTTCTTTTATAATTTGAGTTAATGAATTGTTCCTACAATTTTATTCATCCCGTTTCTCAGAAATTAACAACCTGTTTATAAATTTGATAGTTAAGCCTATAATTTCTGTTAAGAATCCATTTAAATGTTGTTGTTTTTCACTGTCATTGTAGTAATCAAATGATCCATTGCATTTAACAAAATTGTAAAGGCTTAATTTAACTAGACTGTATCAATTTATATATTGACGTGCCAGTAAAACTATTTTTAAAAAATGTATGTGTCAAGCATTATTAGTTCTATCCACCTATACATAGCGGAAACAAAGCTTTCCGTAGAAAGTAAACTATTTTCAGGATTTAAAAACTTCCAACTTAATTATCAACTGCCTTTGAACTTCTTGACAGAAACCATTAAACTTTAGTTTTGACAGTTCAGAATGGAAGATCTGTTCACCTGTCAATTTTGGGTTGTTATTGTGGTTATTGATAATTTGGAGTAAAGATTGCAGTATGGTGAACATGATATCATTTCCTTATATAGAAGACATAATTATTATTATTATGTATAGCTAATCTAAATTGTGTGGTTTGTATGAAGTTTTGCGGTTTCATATACTATCCGTCACCTGCTTCATTCATCACTTGAAGAATTATGATACATCAATTATGACTAATAACGGCTGATATTATCTTTGTGGGTATTTAGAGCATATTTCATATTGCTTAAAATATAGAATGCCACGAGAGTTTACCACTTATTTGTGGGTTAGACTGTTAAGAGGTTTTATACACTGCGTAACGTTTTGTCGTTCTACTGATTTCTAAAGGTCGATTATTTAGATTAGAGGGGGCTGTTTTGATGAGTGACTACCACAGGCTTGTGGGATAGACATCGTTCCCTAAGTTTCAATACACACTATTTTTTTTTTAAGCCAGTCTGAATTTTTGGTGTTGATTTGTGTTTTGTTTTTTTTTTCCCATTTTTTTTTCAAATTGACATCAGTGGAGGAAAAAATAAATAATATAGTTTGATTTATGTTTAATTTTGGCATGGCGATTGTCTGTAATATTATTCGTCAAAGATTGTTTATAGATCTTTAATAAAACATAAATTATACACAAGAAAACAATATCTAAACAACAATACCGTGACTTCCATACAAACTTAGAAATTAAAATTTCGGGGACAAGTGAAATAGAAAAATAGATATACTCCGGTGGCGATTTATTTACTGTTGTATAATTTGTGGGTGAGAAGCCTAATATGAGGTCATGATAATATTTACATGTTTTTGTTTTAGATACTTTATATTACGTTCTTTAAATTTTCTTGGAACCGTTTATTGTTTTCATACGGTAAGATTCATATAAATACTTAATTACGGTATCATCGTTTTGCCAAAGTCTGTCTTAAAGTGAGAGAGAGAAATGGGATTTAACGTCCACTCGACACAAACGCTAAAGTGGCCCAGATGATCGAAATATATTATTTATTATAATCTGTATTGCGCGAGAGTACATATAATTTACCAAAGTCTACCTCCAGAATAAATTTCAATTTTTTTTTACCCTGAAATAATTGAACCCTATTTTAATTTTATATTCTCGAGGAACGTAGGTACTTTCATGCAATAAATATGTTGATGGAAAATATTTTATATATATATATAAAATATTTTCCATCAACATATATTTTTATATATATATATATATATATATATATATATATATACTAATATTTGGATGAAATAATCTATATTTAAATAACTTTTACATTAGTGCCCAGATTTGTCGACCCTACGGCGTCTTCAGGGCTAATTTAGCCTTTCCCTGGGACTGTTTTAGGCCTATTATATTATTAGTATTACTTTATACCTAACCTCTTGGAATTGGAAAGTTTCGACCAATTTCACAAATGTTTGACTAAAATGATCTTGGGTTGCATATTTTTTAAGCAAATCTCCTACACTAGAATTCCATATAAATAGGCTTCTGTTCGTCTGTCGGACAGGAAGTGTCGGGGAATCAATTTTTCTTTTTATAGTAGTACAATAGGATAAGGACAGTAATATCTGTTCAAATTAGAAAATATAATTCGCTCCAGTACATCAGGACGTACAGTTCAAATTTTGAACAAGGCCTTCGATCTCGATTAAAGAACCCACCGACTGACTTACCCTGACCAGAGAAATGAATGGATTATATAAGTAAATTTTATGGTTTCAATTCCTGTAATACATACATACACAGTAAAGTTTGTTTAGCTATAAAATATCCTCAAATAAGCTCAAAGTTTGTAAAACGAGAATGTCTTCTTAAAAACAACCACCTTTACATATAACTAGGAGGTATGATAGTTGTGAAGTTATCGGACTTTTATGTTGCGGTATTTGCAAGTTTATAAATAAAAACATTGTTGTACATGTATATGTGTGCTTTATTATCGAATTGAGCTAGAATTTTTAAACTTGATGTAGGTGTTTATTAGGTGAATGCCTTGACTGAGTTTGATGACGGGCATTTTCTGCTTAGGCTATTGCATCAAACTTGGAGTATAGTTTCAATATACCAATACCTCGTCTAAGTTCGATGATGAACAATTTGATTGGTCGAGACTTTGGAGTGAGAATGGCGTATATCATTACATCGATAACTTGACCAAGTTCGAATACCTGGACTAAGTTTGATGATGAGCAATTTGGTGGTTGGAGCTCGACAACTTTGATTCTAATTGAGTGCGAATTATAAAAAGATAAATATGCAGTTGACCAGTGGCTGCCGTCCAAGATACACCCACATTTTGCAAGAGATGGATAGAGAACAAGCTAAAAAAAAAGGTGATTTTTAGTACAATCAAGAGCCATAATTCAGGAAGTTATGATCCGATATGCGCGAATATCGAAGGGATATCAGCCTCACTATTGGCTTGTTTCTTTTATATCGTGATGTGAAGAGTGGCATTTAATGAAGAACAGTTTGATTTCATATAACCTGTGGGGCTTAAGCCTACGGTGCCTGTCTGTTCGGCAATATATAAACTTTAGTGTTTAATTTTAGTTACAGATTTTTTCAAAATACCTAATAGATTTCAAAATAACTTTAAAGAAATAATTATGCATGTTATTAGTTTTTAGTTGTTTACAAATATATAAATACATGCTGTATTCTCCTTATAAGGTATAGTTAAGTGTATTTTGTTAAGTTTTGAGCGACAACACAAGGATGTTTTAGAACGGTTATAAATAATATACACAGTAAATATGCTTATTAATGCTAGGTTCTCACTATCACGATTCGTACTACGATTGAAGTCCTGTCAGGTCTTATCATATATGGTGGCCAGTCTTAGCAATCGTGTTGATCGTATCGAAACGTATCTTAACATATCTGCAATTACCAGATCGTGGACTCAGTATGAACAATCCCATCGCAACGCATCGCACGACGGTGGGAACCGTGCATAAGGGAAGTTCGCGTTTTCTTTTCACTTTCTGTGGATACGTAATATGTAGATACAGTTAAGTGAATCAGACATAAAGTGACAGTTATTGTATAATTGTAAAAATAATTTACAGATTTTAAAAACTTTGATTAAAAGTTATAATATTTTGGTACTTTAATATTGTTCTTTTGTGTTTGAATGACTACGTTGGCTTTGACATATAATGGTCAAGACTGTTCTATGTTTAGCGTGACTGAAGGTGGTCGCTGAATATCTTTTACCCGTTGCTTCTGCTTCTGAAATCCAAATTCATACGTTCTCCATTGAGCTTTTGTTGGATTTTCTTTTTAATTTCATTGATTATTGTCCCTAATTGCGTGGAAAATCAAGTTTAGCTTTTAGACCGTCTAGCGTTCACATTATTTAAAAGCCAATTTTGATGAAACATGTGTTTATATCCCAAAGATCTCACTTCAGTTCGATGTTGGCGCGTATTGGGCCATAAAGTCCTGGATTAGTCCCCCTGATTGTACGAAAAATCACGTTTTTAGCTTGTGAACCCCGGACTATTCGATATTGGCATGTAGCGGGCCGTAACTTCATGGATTACCCCTGATTGAACGAAAAATCACATTTTTAGCTCGTGGACCCACTCGGCAGACTCCGGTACCCTACATCTTACCTCGTCTGTATGATGGTAAGTGATAAACACCCATACAATTGTGATGCGGCTACCGGTTTACTTATAAGGAAAACTTGCCGCTTTTAGAAAGAAGTTCTCAAAATGGGTCGTTCGAAGAATGTGTTGAGTTTTCATAGCAAAGTTGTCCTTTGTTTAAAGAAAATCAGATAAACTTGAAAGAAAAACAGTTTCAAACTTTGACAACTTTGTATCATAAAACACTCGTCACGTGCGTCTTCATGGGCGCTGCTATTTTTAATCCGGGAACTTGAAAGTAGATCCAACGGGGGAATTCGTCATACAGCCGAGGTTAGATGTAGGGTATTGGAGTCTGCCGAGTGCTTGTAGACCCACTAGAGGTAGCAATTATTTTTTTTTTAAAATTTTAAAAACCTTTTAAAAATATGTTCGTCAAACTCCAGTCATTTCCTAAAAAGGAAACCATAATTTCCCAACAAAATGACCGTTTCCCTTTACACAAATGTAGCAAAGCATGTAATACATATACCTAGGTTGTGGAGCCTATAGAGGCCACGATTATTTTCCGATTCAGATGAAATGATCTTAGATGAGTTCGATTTTGGAGCACATTGAACCTTCCGTTCTGAAGTTACCCCCCCCCCATCCTCCTCGCCGTTTACGCAAAATGTGAACTATGTGCATAGTTTGTGGACGTTCCAGAGGCCACAATTAGGGTGCCCCACAATAAATAAATATCTCCAAATATCTCGACAATTACACCACAATATATATATATATATATACCAAGCCTTAAATCAGTTTCGCACATTTATAAACGGCAATGTTGTACTTAATAAGCTATGACCATTTAACCATCAATTTATAATAGACTGAATAATGGTTACGGGCACTTTTGAGTAAAAAAATCGGTTTTTAGTCTCGCTTGACCAGTCTACCAACCATTCCCCGTCTGATTGACAGGCTGGGATAATCAAGACTACTTTTTTACGAAACATAACAGAAAGCTAGAACAAGAAATTGAATTTAAAAACACGCACGTTAGGCAACTCAACAATTGTTTTAAGAACCTTGTAAAAGTAAAATGAAACCACTGCTAGTATCATGTTCTTACCTAACCCGAGTGTTTCAGAAATATTTTTGTACTAAACCAAAAGATGCCACTCCTAACGGTATAGTTAATGATAAAGCAATTTAAAAAATAAAACGAACTTAATTTCTAAAAAAAATTTAAATATTACTTCTATTCAGAATCGCTAAAAATAGATTTTTTACGTCTGTAATAGTTGATAGATGTGTAGAAAATTTCACGTGCGATGGCTATTTATAGACTCATAGACTCTTGCACTGAGTGTTATCGCACCGCGTGACTAGCCAGACATCACTTCTAGACAGACCACTTAAACATACATTATGCAAGAGCTCAACCTGCCTATTGCAGGTCTTTCTTTCGGCCTGAAATGTTATCTAAATTATTAATTAGACATTAATTAACTTATCCAGACCATAATCAACTCTAAATGGCATCGCTAGCCTGCGATCTTAAGTGGGTTGTGAGCCGATTTACTGCATAACTTTCCGTCTCGATTTAACGATTAAATGGATAATCGAGACTATGCTGTTTAGCGTACTGACTTTAGTAACGCTGACCGAGGCTAGGTAGAAATTTCATTCGCTTAGTTCTCGATTCATAGTGGATCAACTTGAATGAAATTTTCAGCAAATTGCCTTTACGTTATTTAGTTTTTAACTATTATAGTGAGAACTGCCAATTCGTTATCGAATCTCCCATAATGTATCTTTAAGCGTGTACATTCGCCGTGTCGAGTACAACTTTCAGTAGGAAAAATTATAGCTACATGGGGCACTCGACCACAATGTCCGGTTCATTTGAATCTGAACTTATGTTAAGGATCGAAAGCTCTTGATATATATAGTTTGATTTTGGTGTGCATCAAACCTTCCTGTCTGTAGTTCTGTGAAATATTTTTATACGGCCACATTTTCATGTGGACGTATTATGCTGTCGCCCTTGTCCGTCCGTCCCTCTTAAGGTCACAATTATTACGTTCGAATATCCCCGTTACACCATAATGTTGGTTGAGTTCGAATTTCGTGAAAATCGGACCAAAACTGCCGGACAAAATGGCCGCCCCTCGTACGCAAATAGATCTGGTATATAAAGATTGTGGTCCCTCTTAAGGTCACAATTTTGACCCTATATTTATGAAACTTGAAATACATGTTTATAATCCAAAGATCTTGATTCTTTCGATATTCGCGCATATCGGATCGCAACTTCCTGAATTATGGCCCTTGATGGTACGAAAAATCGCATTTTTAACTTGTGGATTCTCTAGAGGTGACAATTTTTTTTCCAATTTCAAAAACCGTTTAAATATATCACCATTTTCGGGAAAATCGAAATGAAACTGCCTGACAAAATGGCCGCTCTTTGTACGCAAATTGTGGAAAAGTATGTAGTACGAAGGTTGTGGACCCTCTATAGGTCACAATTTTTATCCGATTTTGATGAAACTTAAAACATATCTTTATATCCCAAAGATCTCAGTTCCTTTTGATATTTGCGCATTTCAGACCATAACTTTCTGAATTATGGCCCCTGATTGTACAAAAAAAACCTTTGTTTTTGGCTTGTTCTCTATCCATCTCCTGTAAAATGTGGACGTGGCTTGTCTGGCATCGATGGTTGTTTATATCACAAAATGTGGACGTATAAATTGCCTGACAGCCGCTGGTTATAGCTTGTTGAACTTCCAAGGACAACAATTTTGGTCTGATTCAGATGAAACTTATTTTCTCCCTGCCTTTTAAGCAAAATGTGAAATATGTAGGAAGTTTGTGGACCTTCTAGAGGCCATAATTATTTCCCGAATCAGAAGAAAGGATCTTAGATGAGTTCAGTTTTGGTGCGCATTGGACCTTCCGTTCTGCACTGTGCAAAGTAACAATGTAATCATAAAAAAACAAGATTTTGTAGATATGTTCTATTTTAGTGGGCAAATTTGTAAACTGACCCTAGGCCACAGTCTCAACCCTAATAAAGATTTTATTATTATTATTATGCCCCTTGGCTATTACGCAAAATGTTATGTGCATAGTTTGTGGACCTTCCAAGGGCCACAATTGTTGTCCGATTCAGTTGAAACTGGACATATATATTAAAGATCGAAAGCTCTTGGAAGAGCTTGTTTTAAATGCGATTCACGGAATTGTCTTTCTGTTAATATTTTGACTATTGAGCTATAGTTTGGAGTTATTCGACAACCACACGCTCTCTCTGCCGTTTAGTTCTTAATAACGTTATTTGCAGCCAATGTCCTTATTAATGTATCCAAGAAAAATTCGTCATAATACAACTACAGGGCCATGGATGTTTATTTACGGACAAAGAATAAAGCCAGGCGGCTTAAAATTGATACTGAAATTTGTTTGACACCACGATGAAAAGTATCGGTATCAATTATGTGTTGGCGAGGGCCGGATAGGGGTGTGGTTATATCTTTATTGTCACATTGGAAAGTTTTATCCAGTGCCTGAATATTCTCGTGAAACCAATTTACACCATATGTGAACAATCGCTATAACCACAGAATGCAAGCCTCTCCCTATAAAAAGACTTTAAGAAACCGATACCGATTTTCATTATGCCTGGGCTTTGATTCTTCCTCTGTATCTTAGATACGATTCTTAGTTAAATCTTGGAGCTCTTCAGGATTTTAGGCCCTTTTCTGCTCAGTAAAAATTGATCAGGATATGGGTATTTTTCATGAAAATGTGATCATTACGGTAAAGGTCCTGGTTAAATTTTTTATGAAACACTTTGTATCTTCATAAGAATGGCGCCTCTAAACTCTTGTGCTAGCAATTGTCAAGCTTATTGGGAGTAATGACATGCCACGATATGTGTTCAATGAAATTATGCATTTCCGTCACAAAAATAAAAGTATTCTGGTGCTATTTCATATATTGTATATTCATTTGAAACAATCAACACTAAATATCGAAAATTAATTAAACATTATCAATAATTTTAAGGCAATATAATATCATTTTCAAAAAATTTGAAAAAACGGTGAAATTCAGAATCACCAACAAAAATGTTCACATTCTGACTTCAGTCATCTGAAAGGATGTACTTTTCAGCCATAACAGAACCATCGTTTCTGAGGGGTCAGTCAAACATTATGAGGAGGTTCCCAGTCATCATCACTAGCATCAGATGTTTCGATATTCTCAATTGGCTGAATATCATCATCTTGATAATGCTGTGATAGCGGTCCAAATTATCCAGAAGGCATATTCGTTTTTCTCACCTTCTGTCATGGAAAGAAGAGTAGTATTGACGTCATATCCTTCCTCAGGGCGTTTCTCAAACATTACCTAGTTGCTGAAGATAGATGAGCCTCCATTTTTCTGATAACTTCATGTGTTGGGCTATCAGAATCATTGGATAATATAAAGTTTCTCTCAAGAAACGGATAGCAGGTACACATAAAACTTTTAGTGCAATAACATGCCAGTTCTTTTTCACAAATACTTTCTTTTGTTTTACTAAATATTTGGTTCTTGGGGGTTTCCTAGGTTGGAAAGAATGACATAATCGCTTCGCAGTATATGGGCAATTTTCAACAAATTGTGGAAAAAGTGAATACAATTTGAACACTCAATTAATACAGGGATTGGCATAATGAACCTAAGTATGTAATATTCTTTCGGGTATCGTGGTACGTTATACATGACAAAATGTACATAATTTTGCACATTGTTGTAGATATAGCAAACCATACAACTATAGCTGAAACAGGAAGTTTGTGGCTAAAAGGACTTCACTAATATGTATACCTGATTAATTAAAATCATGAAATGAAATGAAATGAAATGGGGTTAAACCTCCTACTGTTTTGCTCCGAACTGGGCTAATGACGACGGGCATACGCCATACAGTGTGCTTTGAGGGAAATTTTGCCCGGACATCGGCACTACGGCCTACTCTTATATCGAATTCCAACTGTCAAGGAATCTTTTACGTGCACGCCAATGTGTATACTGGACCTCGGTTTTTCATCCCATCAGAACGACTAAACAGCTGCCATTGTCGAGCCCTCCGTCCTGCATCACTGACAAGGGGGAACCACGCCGGAAAATCTGGATGAACTTTCTCGGCCAATGCGGGGATCGAAGACCCGACCTCCAAGCTAGCGAGACAGCGTCTTACCCACTTAGCCACCTTCACCCCCGTACTATTCATGAGTATTTCTGAAGAATTGGTTCTTGACAGACACTGCAGGTACATTAAATTGATGAAATTAGGGAAGCCTTTGTAGATTTCTTGTATCAAGTGAAAGTGGATTTGGACTTCTTAAGGGGTTTCCTCCCAGTAGATGTTGATAGAAATGTACAATTCAATGTCTACTGCATGTAGTAATGGACGTGGAAAGTATATAATTTGTATATGTCCACACGTTGGAGTATCATGTTGTCACACGTGTTGATCTGTCCGTCGGTTAACAGTTTTGGGGTATTTTTAAGTTATTGCTCTTGTCACCGAGTTTTTGAGAGATTTTTTCTCTCTATAAAACTTGAGGTTTTTTTTGACGGAGTTAGTATTTCTTTATCTTTAGCTTAACATATATGCTGTGACGCCTTTTCTACACTCCAGGGGCATACTTTCTTTGCTTGGCGACGCCACATTTGAGATAGACGAGATATTTAATCAGAAAAGGTGCCAAAATACAGACATCCGATTATAAGCAAACGTTGGTAACAGCACCTTTTAAGACAACTTGAGTGTGCTGAAAAAGAAAGAAAATACGTTATTGAGTTGTATTGCCCCTGATTACAAAAAAAAATTGCAGCCAGGGATGGTGTCATTATAATCAAATTGAACTATATATCTAATAAAATAAAATGTATGAATTCTGAACATGATACCAGGCTGAAGTTTTGAGTGTTAAAGCCGCTAATCGAGGTTATAAGCGTGATGTGTGCGCCTTTTCACATTCTTTCTGGGGATTGGCAAGTTCACCAATTAACCTCATGAGCATTACACAACAAAAGAACCTACTGACTTTACAAGGTTGTGAATTTGAATTAATAAAGGTAAAGGTTAATATGTTTTATCCCTATCCCATATCCTTTTTGGTACAATTTAAGCATACTAAAAAAAAAGAAAAAATATGCTGCGCCTCACCCATATTGAAGGGGGTGATAGGTTTTCCATTAATCCGTCGTTCTGTTTGTCCGTCTGTCTGCCCTTTTGTATTTATGTTTTGTTCTTAAACTTTGAAATATTTGAATAAAATCTGGTACATATAGTAGAGTCAGGGTTTAAAGGGACAATAACACTCTTGCTGGCTTGAAAGCTCCAGAAAATAAATAATACCTCTATCTAAGTACTAGATGTTTAAGTGTCCTACCTGTTGTGTACATTATCCATTACATCCTACTTTACTTGTCCAGAGAGTTCGAAAATATTTTTAAATCGAAGTTTCATTTGAAAAGGTTTACGTTAGACGTTTCAAACCATTATGTTGAATTTTTCAAAATTTTAAAATAAGGTGTGTTAAGATGAAATTTGTATCATCAATTAATTGAAATATTCTAAAATAGTACAATTTGTTGACCAGAATAAAGATTGGGACTTATTATTCAGTTACAACAAGAGTGGTATTGGGCCTGTAAGCTCGAGGTTAATAACAATGCAAAGTATGTTTTCTCGAATTATATTAGGTTGCACTCGGGGGTATTTGATTAAAAGTTTAAGGCACTGGATCGCTGATCTGGAGGTGATTCTGCCCCCCCCCCCCCCCCCCGATGTTAGCCGAGAAATTTACTCGGGATTGGCTTCCCCGTGTCGGTGGTGCAGGATGGAGGGCCGCATCTAGTCGTTCAGATGGGACCTATAATGGAGGTCCCGTACATACATTGGCATACACGTAGAAGAAGCTGTGAACTGTAGGACGTTAAACCCCCATTTCATTTCATTGCATTTCGTTTATAGCCGAGTTTCATGTCGAGTTGTGTTTCGTATAGGCCTGTACTCAGATCGATTAGAAAGTATAGAAATTTATTTAGTCTAACACTATAAATATTACTTTATCTCAAATAAAATTATTTTCCACTTTTACCTTATTTTCACAAGAAAGAAAAATCGAGTTCTTTTCTGCCAAGCGTTATACGTTTTGAATATCATTTGGCGATTAAACGTGCTAAAATCATACGCCGGTCATGACAATAGATTTTTGACCGAACTGGTTGTAGAAAAATGTAACGTTACTGTTTAATTATTTAAAAAAAAAACCCACGTGACTTGTCAAATCGGCTGGATAGTCGTTTAACATGAATATTGCCAGGAAACAGTCGCACACTTAACACAATACATAATTGGCATTTACCTTAAATATACCATATGCAAATATATAATAATACAGAAGTATTGTTATTGTTAAAGAAATTTTCAAAAATATCAGCCCAGATAAACTTTTAAAGATTAGTGTACTAAATTTCAATCAAATATTACACTCACATAACTTTGAAAAAAAGAATTAAAAAAAAAAAAAAATCTATACAGGGTCATAATTCAGTAATAAATTAACGGCATTCCACAAAACCGTACACTGTAATCGCTTTACTTGTCATTTCGTTGCAACCCTTTGATGTCTACGAAATGTGTTTAATTATTTGATTTTGGTACATCTAGATGAAGCAGAGTTATGCCCCTTTTCTGTAAACCTTGTGAAAGCGATATAGGCTGTAGTGTTTAACGGATTCTTTTCAAATTTCGTGGTAAGCAGTGGTCAAACTCTATCGATAATCAACGTTCCGCAAACTTCCACCCCAGAGTTACCCCCCATTGTGAAAATGGTAGGGGCTACAGTTTTACCAATGTTTTTTTTACAAATTGCGTTCAGGAGAGAGCAAACCCTTTCGATATTCAAGGTTCCGGAATTTACTTTCTTTTGCCGAAAACCTACTAAACGCGAAGAGGCAACATTTGGTGTAAAGCATTGTGATCACGAAAGGATGAACCCTATCAATGGTCAGCGTCAGGTTAATGAAGCACGGTTTCCAAAGATGTAGGTTCCGAAAAATTTTCACCACCTTTATCAGCCCTACCATCTCGACATTTCATGTTTACGCCGTCATGTCCTAAAACTTTAAGAACATGATAGAGGCCACAGTCTTTAATGGATTTGTTTCAAAAAATAAAATGGGGTTTAACGTCCTACTTTTCTTCTCCGACTAGGCTAATGAAGATGGGCATACGCAATGCAGTGTGCTATGGGGGAAATTTTGTCCAGAGAGCAATGCTACGACCTACTCTTATATCGAATTGCAACTGTCAATAGTTCTTTGCAAACGGGACCTCTGTATTTCGTACCATCCGAACGCCAATACGTTGTCCCTTTCCAGCCCCTCCGGCTTACACCACTGACAAGGGTGAACCACGCCTGAAAATTCAGATGAACTTTCTCGGACAACACCTGGATCTAACAGGGGACCTCCAGGTTATATCGAATTGCAGCTGTCAATAGTTCTTTGCAGACGGGACCTCTGTATTTCGTACCATCCGAACGACTATACGTTGTCCCTTGTCAGCCCCTCCGTCTTACACCACTGACAAGGGTGAACCACGCCTGAAAATTCAGATGAACTTTCTCGGACAACGTCTTACCACTGAGCCACCATTGCTCCGATTTGTTTCAATAGGACTATTGCGAAAACATCAACGGGCTCATAACTTAAAGGGTCGTCAACGTTCTGCTAGACCTCGCAGTACGTCTGCAAGTATGCAAGGGACGTCATCTTTTTGCGCCATGCACTATGTTGAAAAGGGAATGGTATCCTAAAGAACTGTTCGTGATCGGCTCACAACGATTAGATATGGCGTTAAGAGGCATATCAGACGACCTCCCTTGACATATTATGACCATAAAATTCACTGGTCGGATGATAGGTATGGCGACGTAAGAATATAACAAATACACATAGGAACATCCTAGAGCAAGTTCCATTCATAGGCGGCTTTATTATGATATTGTAGTTGTCTTTCCAAAGAGGGGTCTGGACAGGGTTTAGTGCCCAATTTTGACAATAATCCTCTTTTCACAATACCAATCAGTATGGACGTTTCTACACTACCTTGGCCATCCAAAAGCTCTGATCTGAATCCAACTGACCATATCTGCGACATTCTTAGGCGTAAAATCATCCAAGGTCTCTATCATGATATGGGATTACCTTTCAACTGGTTACAGTAAGAGGTAATCTCAGTGGCCAACGGTACCAAAGAGATCATGGGCAGGGTTTTAGTGCCCCACTTTGACCATCATCCTCTCACTACCATGACTAGCCAGAAGCTCTGACCTGAAGCCAATTGAGCCTATATGGGACATTTGGGCTTTAAATCCATCCGGCGAACCACCGGTGTAGAATCTTGACGATTTGGATCAGGGCACTTACACCAGGCTTAGATCCACCATCTCATTCAGTCGATGTGTAGGAGAGTTCAACAGATGAACCATGCCAGCGGAGGCTTCACCGGGTAGACTTTTTTCGCAGTGTTGAGGGCTCTTTGGATAACTTGGGCATAAAATAAAATGAGTCGAACTGTAGACTTTCCTACTGACATGAACCGCCGTAGTTGTTTGGACTTGGTTTAACCTTTTACCGCCCTTTTTAAACTCTACATAATAACATTAAATCTACTACTTTTGACCTCCTTTGATGGTCCAGTCTTTCATCGGAGCAGTTCGGGAAGTCGTAATATCTTCGTTAACGCATAATAGCTAATACAACTGATCAAAGTCTAGCATTGTCTACGTTTGTGTACAGTGTTTAATTCACGGTGGCGTTAATGGTTTCCATTATTGTTAGTGTCGTAAGTGCCTAGTTTCTGAGTGGCTTGTGAAAATGTAGGGGTTCCTGAGCGATTTTAATTGTTTTCAGTATATAGTTATATTAAGATGCCTTTACATGTACAAACTGGGTGATTTGGTGATATATTTGGACTAAAAACATATATAAACTAATTAATCTATTAGAAATTTGCTTCAAATCCCTCTCAAAACACTGTATTCGCGAGGATATATCACAGTCTATAAAAAAAATCTATTTAAAGAAGTCATGTTTGTGGCACGTGACTTGGCGGTCGCGGAAACTATGCAAGGCTGCCAAGTCGAAGGAGAATTCATTGAATATAAAAGACTGACAATTAGTGAAACCCTCCCATTTTTGTCCTGTGCACGCTCTAGGGTATCCAGTATTCTTCTAGTAAGATTGGATATCTGTACATCCCATATATACCAAAATTTCCATACTTGTTTGTTAAATAACAACCCGATAAATACTTTTGTGGGAATGCATCTTTAAGTCCCTTATATGAATTTCTTTACCTGACGAATCATGGTTATCTTTAGAAATATGTCCTTTTTTACCCATAACTGAACATTATTTAAGGAAAGTTGGTTTTAGATTGGATTCAGTACATTTTGCCATTCAGAAGTAACATTTCGTGAATATCTAGAAATGAAAGAACATTCAGGTGGATGAAAAAAAAAGAGATTTAGCAGTCATATATCTTGGGAATAAGTTATTTAATGACACCGAAACTCATGTTACCTTATCTGAAAATATAATTTATTCTGTATATAAGAAATCACAGGGTGAAAAGTCAGTTATTTTGGGGTTGACACGACACGAGCCTGCTATAGACTCTCTGGCTCGAAAGATGGGGATTCTTTTCACCCTCTTTCGGATAGGACGACAAACCCGTGTACACATTGGCTTGCAC